TGTTGAACCACATTAAAAATTATACAATTTTATTATATAAAATTACTAATTTTTATTACAAAATTTTATATTATGCAATTTTTATTAGAGTAATTCCGGTATATACGCCGCACGTGTCAAAAACTTAATTTATTAAGTATTATTTACTGCTTAAAGTAAACGAATTATATCAGTAAATACTTTGTATTGTCTACTATTATGAAAAAAATATTGGAAATCCGAAATATTTATATTTCGTATTAAAAAATGAACTTTTTTAAACCCTTGTATTTTTGCCGTATATCCCACAGGGGTGGGATATATTGCTACTCATAGGGGGAGGGGGAATATATATGACTCATGAAAAATTTACAAATAATGCATATAAATAAGTCGTAAAATGACACAATAATTTATAAAATGCGTTTATAAAGTTTTATTAAGGAATAAGAACGATAAATATGTATAATGAAGTAATAAATAATAATGACAATCTTCTCACATGTATTACAAGTGTTATAACATGAGGTACATATTTCATGTAATGCGTTTATTGCATTTACTGCACTGAATTCAATCTGCCCACTTTGTATACTTTGGGCATAAATCCCGCCCATTAAAAATGCCGTATATTCCAAACAGATGGAATATACAAGACAACAAACTAAACAAAGAATACAAGAGCAAACTATGTAGAGCTTGTATTTTGTTATACAACATGCTTTACTATTTCTCTACATTTATGTATCACGAAATAACCACTAAGTCTTTTGCATGTCCTACAGTAATTATTTTATTTTTGTAGATTATAATTTATGATGGCGCTACTCAACACAGTGACAAATCGATTGAACTTACAATAATTTCATTAATATTAACAGTAAGAAATTGAAATCATAACACAATACTAATATAAAGGCATGTAATAAAGTAATTGCGGGAAAATTATCCCTACTTCTTCTATTTTTTCTGACTTCTGCGGCGTAAATCCCAGCGCGGTGTATTTGCCGGAGTTACCTTATACATTAGCTGATGTTACTGTAGAAGGTATAACGACAAGAAAAAACGAGCTGCGATACTTTCCAGATGATTGACTTTTCCGTGATGGATGGAAAAATTCTTTCAATTCTGCCTGATGTATTATATATTACCGCGTAATGATCCAATAGAACCGGGAAGGCGATCGATCATGTGTTTTCACGAGCATGACGCGCTTTGCAATGGATTACGTTGTTGGCTTTTATAGCCAACGAACGTATAAAGTCTCCGAGGTGTACAAAATCGTAGAACGACGAGCGTACAATTTGATCTGTCGCCAAGAACCATTAGAGTGACAATCCCGCACGTTCATCCATCCATCTATTTCGCACGGCAGGTAGACTTGCACGCCGTGACGTGCTAATCTTATTAGCATAGCTCTGTTACGGCATTCGGTATTAGTCTTCGACACACAATTGCTTCGATATTTTTCCTACGCGCCTACATGCAAGGACGAGATTGGTAAAGCTTATCTGCGAAAGATAAATCTCCTGTAAAATGCAAGGATTTTCATTAATTCGTTCAATTCTGTGTACCCACGTAGGTAGCTTCGTTATTTTTGTGATTTCAATGAATCTCAATCTAATTTTACGACATACCTCAATTCAAGTGTACAAATATGCTTTTCGCCTATATGAACGAATAACGCCAACGCAGAATAAATATATACGACGCAGGAAATAGTATCATTCTAATTATAAGCACCGACTGTATGATGTCGGTATTATGATGTCGTGTATTATTATGCAGTTTTAAGCATGAATTCGAGGTATAAATATAAATCTGTGTATCTATAATATTAATTACGATAGATTTTTAATTTTTTAATATTTTGCCATTGAGTACTGAAAGGATTAAAATCAAGAAGTATCGTGGTTATAAAGTATGCACAAAGATTATTACATAAAAAAACCTACATAAAATATAAATAT